AAAAAAAAAGCAACGGAATGGGTCGGCCTAATAAGAAACGCCTGCAGGTGCTCGTTGGTGAACCGGTGCGTAAGCGCCAAATAGGATATGCCTTCAAGGAGAGGATCCAGTAGGATGGATTAGGCAGTGTAACAAGTATTTTCAAATGTCTGCAGCACCAGAGGCTGATGTTTGGTTGAGGAGATTAGGTTTGCTCAAGATACAATTAACTTGGAAACAGTTTTGTGCTGAGCTCATCAAAAGATTCTCAGAGCAAGGGTCTTATGATTTAACTGAAAAATTCAATTCAGTTAAACAGTTAAATACTTCTGTGTCTGAATACACAAAGCTCTTTGAATATCTGATGGCAGATGTGCATGAAGAAAATCCTGAGCTCAGCGAGTTGTGGTTTGTCAGATGTCATGTCAATGGGCTCAGAGAGGGCATCAAGTTTCAAATCAGGCCATTGAGACCTCAAACTCTGACAGATGCATACTGGTTGGCCAAAGACATTGAACCTTGCTATCCACCTATCACTTCTGTACCTAAAAAACAAGGTGTTCCTTATGCAAATTTCTATCAAAAATTTCCAGCTGGGAATTCAGTGAAACAATCTACATCTATACCATATACCACTGCACCACAACTACCAATCAGACATGCTGAAGTGAGTAATACCAATAATCCGAAAAATAGAAAAGTGGGAGAATGTTGGAGGTGTGAAGATAAATGGATGCATGGACACAAATGCAAGTTAGTTCCCGGTGTACACTTATGCAACAGGAGAATGATGAGCATATACTTCAGGACAATGAGGAAACAAATCCACAACAAACTGAAGTTGTTGCAGAGGAAGAACATGCTACTCCCTCCTTCCATCTATATAGGGCCTAATTCATTTTTTAAGACCGCATTTGACTATTGACAAGATTAATAGTACATGACATGCACAATGTGAAAATTATATCATTGAAAGCTCCTTTCACACACGAATTCAACGGTGTGCTTTGTGTAAGTTGCATGTCATATATTATTGCTCTAATGTTTGGTCAAAGTTAGCCTCAAAAAACGCATTAGGCCCTATATAGATGGAAGGAGGGAGTATGTTTATTTCGGCATTTGCTATGGGCCAGCAGCTACCAGTGCCAGCACCTACTGTGGTTATACATATAAATGGAAAATGATCTATAACTTTACTAGATTATTGTAGTACTTCTTCATTTCTCAATCATGAATTTGCAATTAAATCTAATTGCCAATTAGTACCACTACTAGGGAAAACCCTAGTAGTAGCACGGGTAACCGCGCTACTAATAAGGCGCTACAGCTATTACTTAGCAGTAGCGTGTACGATGTGCGCTACTGCTAAGACTCATAGCCGCAACGTTTGTTCTATAACGCGCTGCTGCTAATCTAGTTAGTAGCAGCGTGTTTCCTGTTCATCGCTACTAGTATTATTTTTTCATTTTTTTATTTTCAGTATATTAATACGCCATTATATAAATTTTGGTATAATACCAATTATGAGGTTTATATCATTATGTCCATAACAGTGTGCCAAATAAATGTGGATTAGGTTCAAGTGGAGGCAATATGTGGTGCACGTCAAAAGTGTACTACTAATCCAAACTTGATCTAGTTTGGACTAGTAGTACTTTCGATGTGCACCACATGTTGCCTCCACTTGAATCTAATCCGCCAGCACAAGCTATGTAATCATCATCATAGTCAT